GAGAACATTAAAGGATATTTTTATGTAGTTAATGTTTAGGTGTTTTTTAACCAAGGCAAAGTAGAATTGTGCACAATTTTTGGGATCCCAAGAATCTGGTTAACACAATGAACTTTTTTTCTCTGTTCTTTCAAGGAGATTTGTCTAGATTCAAAGTTCAATGTTTGTGAAGGAGAAGGCTGGAGGGCCATGTTTGCTATTTTTATTTTTTAATCTATGAACAGTTGGATGAAGCAAGTCTGTGTATCAGACAGAGGTCTGCACTAAGAATCACTGGAATCTGACTGGATGGAAAATTGTCAAGTCCAGTAATGCCAGGTGGGGTGCCTTTCCTGTGTCAAGAATTATATTCATGACCCTAATCTGCAGTTATGAAACTGCAAAGGTTTATGGTCTCCCTAGATAATTCAGAACTCTGAAAGCAAACGATGACTAAAAACATGTTCAGTCAGCCTCAGGCAAGCACCTGCAGAAGAGACTGTCAAAACCAGATCTTGTCAGAGAGTTTTCTGATAAATGATAAACCTGTCTATTGTCTAATGGTGTAAATCTCTTACTTAAGGTTAGGTGGTGTGTGCTAATGCACCTGGCACATACCATGTGGTGTCTTTAGCAATTTATAGTTTAGGGTTTGTTTGGTTTTTTTAAAATTTTATTGATTTTATTGTTTTATTTATTATTATATTAATTTTATTTTATTTATTATTTTAATTTTTATTTAATATTATAAAATAATTATTTTCTTTATTATTTTAAATTATTTTATTTATTTATTATTTATTATTTTAATGATTTTATTTACCATGGTTTAGAAGTGACCAGTGATAACAATCTGGCTAAATATATCATGCATTTAAAATGCAATTAACTGCCCAGTTTTAAAAGGCTGGCAACCTTATTAGATACAAGTAAGTTTCATTCTTTCACTTTTCATCTCAGTATGTTTGCACTTCAAACAGAACTTTGACAGGAAAAGCAATCATACTCTTTTAGAGTTCTAGATATGTGCTTAAGACCTTAAATGTTTTTATATTATTTTTGAATCCTAACAATTTTTCTGAATTCCTATAAAAGGCTTGTTTCACTGTTTTCTCTTATCTTCTAGCCAGAGTAATGGTGCTAAACATCTTTCATTCCAGTAAAAAAGAATGATTCTGGATATGCCCAGTAAGGGAAGAGACCTCATTGTATATTTCTCATTATGAAGAAAGTAATGGTGGTTTTGGAAAAAAGCCCATTCTACTGTCTGGGGCTCCCCAAGGCTATGAGCAGTGTGCCTCTTGAAGTTCAGGGTCTGAATGAGAATTGGAATACCCAGCTTATTAAAAAAGTCAATGCTGTGAGACAGACCACCATGGTCTCGATATGAGAACAGAGAAGAAGACCATTATATTCCTGTGGTAGCAGAGTTTAGGCTTTGGGGTTTTTTTTCTCTCTCTT